TTAATATTCACTAGTACACAGATAAATGTTTAACCATCAGCTCTCCAAGCTTAAAAAAAAAAAGTCCTGACTTGCAGCACTTTTCTATGTCTGTGATGTAAATGATGTCACTAAATGTGGAGCTTGGAAGAGATGTGCACAAATGGCTCCAGCACGCCACTGTCTATTCCTCAGAACCATTTCTCATCTCCATACCTACCGGTACTACCTTAATTCAGGATTTCACCTTCTCTCTCTGCAACCTACACAATAGAATCTTCATGGATTTCGTTGACCACTATCTCATAAACCACCCCCCGCTTTGACACAGTCTCCAAACTGTCTAAAAGCCAAGTCTCATCATGTCACTCTCCTGCTTAAGCCCCTTCATTGCCCACTCTTTATCTTCACATATAAGGGTCTTGATTATTTGGTCTCTACTGACCCTTGAGCTTCGTCTCTTGCCACACAACCACCTATAACCTCTATTGGAATCACACTGACATACATGCTTATTCCCAAACATAGGATACTGCCCCATGCCTCCACACCCTTATTGTATTCTCACTCCCTGGGACAACCTTTCCTAATTCGTTTACTGAGCACACCTCTTTTAAGATTCAGCTCAAATCCTTTCTCCAGAAAGCTTTTCCTCAACTCTTAGGTAGACCTGATGTCTCCCACTTTTATGCCTCCAATACATGTTAGCACCTCTAACACTCTATTGGATTTCTTTCTTTTCATATCCATCTCTTCCCACTAGATCTGAGCTGCTTAAAGGCAAGAATTAGATCTTATTCACAGATAGACCAAGCAGGTAATATCGTGATGGAATACAGTGGACTCTCAAGAAACTATGTCAGCGATTAATATCCGAAGACCAACATGTACTAACTGATCAAACATCTATTGAATGAAAACATCAGGATGTTCTTGCCATATACCCAAGGCCAAAGGACAGCTAAGATACCCCACCTGTACCTTCTAGATTACTAGGGAGCCCATACTGCTATAGTCAAAGAATTTGCACTGTGATTTTTTTTTAAGCCTATTGGCTTCTGTGTTAGTTTCCTAGGGCGAGTACAAAAGACCACCTATCTTAAACATAAGAAATCATTTTCTCAGTTCTAGAAAAGTCCGAGATCAAGCCAACACCAAGGTTGCTTTCTTCTAAGACCACTCTTCTTGACTCGTAGAGATCTTCGTGGTCACATGGCATTCTCTATGTGTATTTATGTCCAAATTTCCTCTTCTTATACCAGTCATATTGGATCAGGGCTCACCCTAATGATCTCATTTTAATTTAATTACCTCCTTAAAGACCTTATCTCAAAATACAGTTACATTTTGAGGTAGTGGAGATTAGGATTTCAACACATGAATTTTAGGGGGCAAAATTCACTGAACAACAGCCTCCTGCTAAACTGTGAACTCCTCAAAAGGTAAGAACTATAGCCTTCTTTCTTAGTATCCACTGTGCCTAATGGAGTTCCCAGAACACAGCAGATTCTTAAGTTATCTGTGGGAGACGATAAATGAAAGATCTTCTCAGAAGTATAGTCCAAATCTGGATTGTTGTCCTTTCCAAATCTGGTGACCAGCACTAAGAATGTCGCTTTCACCCTTTCCCTAAAAGAAAGCTTGATGCAGGGTGCCTGTCTGGCTCAGTTGGTAGAGCATGAGACTCCTGATCTCAGGGTGTTAAATTTGAGCAAGCCTCATGCTGGGTGTAAAGATTACTTAAAATTAAAAAAAAAAATCCTTAAGACCAGACATGCAAAGCCAATTGACAATATCCTGCCTCCCTCCACATCCATTCTTTTTTTTAAGTAGGCTTCACGCCCAGCCTGGAGCCAACACAGGGCCTGAATTCACGACCCTGAGATCGAGATCTGAGCTGAGATCAAGAGTCAAATGCTTTACAGACTGAGCCACCCAGGCACCCCCCTCCATATCCATTCTACACACCCAGCCTCATAGTATCATGCATGGGTATGGTCAGATTCAAAGTCAAAAGAACACCAACACACTCCACTAAACAAGGTAATAACTTAGGAGAAACGGCAAAATGAACATCTGCTACTTTTTCCTACCCAAAAGGAAACCTCTCCCTCCTGTCCTGCATGATTTTGGTGGGCCTACTGATCATGTAACGCTGCCTTCTTCACTATCAAGATGGAACATGACTTAATCAGTGTCCCTCCCTCTCTGAGGAATCTGAATCCTCAGTGGAGAAACATGAAGATAGGAAATACCTAAAGGGAGTTAATTCAGTGCCATGAAAGGTGCCTGGTTCAAACATCCCTGAAATGGCCTTAGCTCCCGACCTTCCCAAGGCTTGACTGACACAGTCTGTTTCTGAGACCTGATAGTCTTCTAAAAAAACAAACAAAATGGGTTTTCAATAAACTAGGAAGTGTTTATTCTGTAGCTCTCAAAGAATCTTGGCATATATAATGGCCCCCAGAAGTGGGATGTGGTGGACCTATGAAAATGGGAGCAGGCTGTAAGGATTCCCCCATCCATGTCTGAAAGTTGCATTCATCATCTTTATTACACCATTGCAAAGCAGCCAACTGCACTCTTCCTCCTTGCATTCTGGAACCCAGTCCACATGCCTCCCCAGGCTAAATCTTTAGGGAAGTTGGCAGGCAAACGTCAAAATACTAGAGTGTATGGCTATTTCAACAGCTTTCAGTACAATCCTAGAAATGACTTCACTTCAGCCTAGGCAGCCTATGTGATCACAGAGATGAGAACGTTCTGCCTCACCTACACTGGCCTTTTCTTCTGTGGGAATCCAAGACAACAAAGTCAGATAATCATGAAGGACAATGAATTTGAATCAATCCATCAATGACAATGCTATAAGATCCAGGATAGAAGGAAACAGCAAAAAATAAGATCAGAACCAAGAGAACTGGGGGAAGCTAGATCCCCTAAGTACCTCTTGATGTATACTCCCTTCTGGGAAAAGCACCAAGCACTGGGATGAAGTCAAAGAAAAGAAACAACTACTACTGCCTTTATCCCAGAGGCAAAAAGCAGCAAAATTAAAGGCTGAAGGACAGAGTAGCAAGGCCTATTTCTCAGAGAAAAACCCTCAGGCTATGGCCCAAAGTCAAGTACCAACCCAGAGGAGATAATGCATATTGATCAGCAGATTTAAGTAGAGTTAAGCTGCCACAGTAACTTTGGAAAATAAAACCTATCATTACTCCAAAATCAATTTCTACATGTCCTAACCACATGTCCTAACCACAGCACCACCAGAATTTGGGATACAGAAATAATATACCCCCACTAGGAAAATCCTACCCAGTGTCCTCAAATGTGTACACAGAATTCATAGGAGCAATACAGAGCAGGTTCAATAGTAGCTAGCACATAAGGCAGTGTGGGGGTTTATCCATCTATACATGTGTCTCCAGTATTAAAAGGGAAAAAAATCTAATCATGGAGCAATAATAGCTAAATACAATGACCTCTGTAACATCCAAGACTAATATCAACCAAGCATCCAAATTAATGTATATCAGCAACTTTCTACAAAGATACAGGGACCACAAAATTTCAATGCAGACAATAGGTAAAAATAGAGATTAATTCTGAAAAACAGATTATGTGCTAGAGACAAATGTAGGAAAAAATTATATTCCTTGAGTTGTACTAAGAGAAGAACTGATTTATGAAAAGTCTAAATCAAATCAAACTGCTTATATCCAATCAGTTTATAGGTTATGATCTGGGGAACTGGGTAGCAAACAAAGCCAGTTCACAAGGAGGTGGACAGAAACCTGAGTGTGCCCACCTTCCTCTGTGACAAGTGTACTCAGAAGCTTGGTTGCACACCACACAGAATCACAGTATCGATAGCATGGTCTCCTAGGATGGTCCTTCCAGGAGCAGCACTGGAATAAGGGATTCTTTCCCCCCACCCCCAATGTTTGTTTGTTTAAGTTATTTTAATTCCAGTATAGTTAACATACAGTGTTACATTAGTTTCAGGTATACAATATAGTGGTTCACTAATTCTGTACATCGCTCAGTGCAAGGCATTCTTTTCTTACATCTATGTAACCCCGCTCCCACAAGTAATATAACCTACACCGTATTTCTATTAAATGGCACAGAATCGCTTGGAAGCAGAGAATTTCCACTTCCATATGGATAGTATCTGTCGCTTACTTGTTAAGGGAGGGGAAATGTAATTCCCCAGACCCACTGCATTCTCCCATCATTTTTATTTACTGCCCTGAGAAAATATCCATTAGAAACAAACTATAAGGAATATTTATGTTCTGTGAGCAAAGGGAAAAACAGAAGTTGGGTGGGGTCATGGATGAGTAAGGGCAGCCTAGAATGATTCTGCTAAAGATATTTCAACACTGATGAACACCAGAGGCCGTCATTTGGCTTATTAAAATAGTGCTGGATAGTCAGGAGAAGCTGGCACATTTTCCTGTAGATGAGATAGCCCTAGGGGTTTGAACAGTTGGAACACAGCTGCCATGGCTAAAACCAAGCAACTACAGATGTCACACCAAAGTGGAAGTAATTTCATACCATCCCATGCTGCCAAATTCAAAATGCTAATGGCGAAAAAGTATTGAAGTAAGTCTTTAAAATAGACTAGATAACTATTTTAAATACCAATTCTAAGTGTAACTAAAAGTTTTTGCTGTTAAGGTCCACGAACAATAGTTATGGCTTAGAGAGCCCAGTCAAAAATTTTACTCCTCAGCAAGATGAATGCATTACAATGTGCCGTTCTTGGAGTCTGGAACAGCCACAAAGTCACTCGACATCAGACTTTGTAACTCCAAAGGTCTTTCAGAAAATGTCTTTTTAGGCAATTCTTTCTCCTTGAATAGTTGTTTCCCTTATAAGTAGTGCTCTCATTCTCTATATCCTTAATGGATATACTAAATCACATGGCACCACATCTCAGTGCTCACTACCCTTAGAAAGACAAGCCAGGGAAGGGAACACTTCACACACATACACACACCCAAACTTACCAAATGCCTTCTTAGGTTCTATTAACTTCAAGGTAAAGGGTTCATCTTTTTTTAATTCCTTTAACTTTTTAGCAACATCATAGTGACGCCACCCAATGATATCTTCTCCATTTATGGATTCAATATGATCCCCCACACAGATGGTTTTAATGGAGTCAATTAGGCTACCATCTTTAATTCTCTGAAAGAAAATTAAGGATAACACTTAATACAAAATGGAACTGTATAACATTCCTTTTTATGCCCCCGAGACATTATATGTATTGACATATTCACAATGCAGCTTAATGCTCAGTTAAAGATAAAGACCAGGCAACAAATGACAACCACCATACCTCATTCAGAACTCTGCTCCATCAATCATCATACCTCCTCCAAGAAACTTCTCCTCAAATCCTCTCGGTTACTCCCCTAAGAATCGTTAAGGTGTTACTCTCCTGCTTCTATAGTAGGTGTTGTTACATATGCTGAGCTCTGAACTAAGCACTTTACGTTTGCCATCTCATTTAATTTCAACAACCTTTAGAAGACCCTCAGACCATAGACTGAAAAATTGAAGCTTGGAAAGATCTGTTCCAAAAAATAGGAAGGGAAAGAAAACTTCCAGACTCATTCTATGAAGCCAGCATTACTTTGATTCCCAAACCAGAGACCCAGCAAAAAAAGAGAACTATACGCCAGTATCCCTGATGAATATGGATGTAAAAATTCTCAACAAGATACTAGCAAATCAAATTCAACAGCGTATAAAAAGAATTATTCACCATGATCAAGTGGGATTCATTCCTGGGCTGCAGGGCTGGTTCAATATTCACAAATCAATGTGATACATCACATTAATAAAAGAAAAGATAAGAACCATATGATCCTGTCAATCGATGCAGAAAAAGCATTTGACAAAATTCAGCATCCTTTCTTAATAAAAACCCTTGAGAAAGTTGGGATAGAAGGAACATACTTAAACATCATAAAAGCCATTTATGAAAAGCCCACAGCTAATATCATCCTCAATGGGGAAAAACTGAGAGCTTTCCCCGAGATCAGGAACACTACAGGATGTCCACTCTCACCACTGTTGTTTAACATAAGGGTAGTGCTAGCATCAGCAATCAGAAAACAAAAGGAAATCAAAGGCATCAAAATTGGCAAAGATGAAGTTAAGCTTTCACTTTTTGCAGATGACATGATATTATACATGGAAAATCCGATAGACTCCACCAGAAGTCTGCTAGAACTGATACATTAATTCAGCAAAGTCACAGGATACAAAATTAACGTACAGAAACCAGTTGCATTCTTATACACTAATAATGAAGCAACCAAAAGACAAACAAACTGATCCCATTCACAATTGCACCAAGAATCATAAGATACCTAGGAATAAACCTAACCAAAGATGTAAAAGATCTGTATGCTGAAAACTATAGAAAGCTTATGAAGGAAACTGAAAAAGATACAAAGAAATGGAAAAATTCTGTGCTCATAGATTGAAAGAATATTGTTAAAATATCAATACTACCCAAAGCCATCTACACATTCAACGCAATCCCAATCAAAATTGCACCAGCAATCTTCCCGAAGCTAGAACAAGCAATCCTAAAATTTGTATGGAACCACAAAAGACCCTAAATAGCCAAAGTAATATTGAAGAAGAAGACCAAAGCAGGAGGCATCACAATCCCAGACTTTAGCCTCTACAACAAAGCTGTGATCATCAACACAGCTTGGTATTGGCACAAGAACAGACACATAGACCAATGGAATAGAGACTCCAGAATTGGACCCACAAAAGTATGGCTAACTAATCTTTGACAAAGAAAGAATATCCAATGGAAAAAAGACAGTCTCTAACAAATGGTGCTGGGAGAACTGGACAGCAATATGCAGAAGAATGAAACTAGACCA